GCGGCGGCGGCAGCTGGGCGTCCTGCAGGTAGTCGAGGTACTTGCCGGCCAGGGTGGGTGGCAGGCGGCACTGCACGAAGACGGTGAGCAGGCGGCCCTGGGAGTGCCAGGCCCCCAGCCAGCGCTTGAGGCCGCGGAGGCGGCAGTCGCAGCTCCAGGCGTTCCCCTCCAGCTCCAGGCGGTAGAGGGCCGGACTGGAGGCAAAGAGCTCGCCGGGGAGGGTGGCCAGCGCGTTGTCTCGCAGGCTGAGCTCCCGCAAGCGGCTGAGGCGGCCGAAGGTGGCAGGGTGCAGGGCGGTCAGCGCGTTGCGGCTCAGATCCAGCGCCTCCAGGCTGCTCAGAGGCTCCAGCAGGGCAGCGGGCAGGTGGCTCAGCAGGTTCCCCTCCAGGCGCAGCTCCTTCAGCGAACCCAGCCCCATGAAGGCATCCGGGGCCAGGTGAGCCAGGCGGTTGCCACTGAGCGAGAGCTTCCCCAAGCTGGGCAGGTGCTGGAAGAGCCCCCCCGTCAGCTGCTGCAGGCTGTTGCTGGCCAGCAGCAGGGTGTGGAGGGAGCGCAGCGGCCCGAAGATGTCCGGGTGGCGAAGGGAACTCTGCTGGTTCCCTGAGAGGTCGAGGAAGCGCAGCTTAGCCAGGCCGGTGAAGGCACCGCGGCTCAGCCAGCGGATGCGGTTGGACTCCAGGTGCAGGTAGAGTAAGTTCGGCAGCCCTGAGAAAGTGGAGTCGCCCAGCGAGCCCAGCTCGTTGCCGTCCAGGCGCAGCTTGACAAGGCTGCCGAGGCCAGAGAAGGAGGCGGCGCTGAGGCGGCCGATCTCGTTGGCGTTCACGTAGAGGATGCGCAGCTTGGCCAGGGCGCTGAGGGTGCCGGGGGCCAGCGCCGGCAGCAGGTTGTTGCCCAGGTAGAGCTCCTCCAGCCGACCCAGGCGCTCAAAGGCCTTGGGATGCAGGGAGCGGATCCGGTTGTACTGCAGGTCCAGGCGCTGGAGCCCTGCCAGGCGGTGGAAGTCGAAGGCGGAGATGTTGGCGATGAAGTTGCCCCCGAGGCTGTAGGTGAGGATATCCTGGGGCTCGGCAGCCTTGGGCACCGAGCGCAGGCCCCGGTTGGTGCAGAGGAGGTGCTGATGCTGCTGGCAGTCGCATGGCTCGGGGCAGATGGGCTCGGCCGCGGGCAGCAGCATGAGGAAGAGGGGGATGGAGCCCCAGAGCACCCGCGGCAGCACCATCAGGAGGACCCGGCGCGGCGCCCCCATCCCGGGACGAGCCGTGGGCTGCTTCCCCCGCCGGCTTTGTGTCTCTCCGGCATCCCCCCCCGCTCCTCCTCCGCGGCTGCTGATCGGCCCCCTCCTCAGCTGCGCGCCGGGCCGAGCTCCGCGCCGGGCAGGCGGGCGCG